TGACAATTCTATACCCAGCAAAAATGCCCCTGGGGCACGAAGGTGAAATAAAGACATTCCCAGATGAAGAAAAAGTAAGAGAATTCATACGTAGAGCAGCTGCTCTAGAAGAAAATATTAATGAAGTTCTTCAGACAGAAGAGAAATAGTATCATAGGGAAAGTGAGAACATCAAGAATACAGGAAGAACAACATAAATTGTAAAAATACATATATAGGGGCGCCTGGGTGGCTCAGTTGGTTAAGCACCCAACTCTCGGTTTCGACTCAGGTCGTGATCTCGGGGTCGTGAGATCGAGCCCCGCATCAGGCTTGGGATTCTCTCTCCTTCTCCCTCTGCCTCTCCTGCTTGCATTCTTGCTTTCTCTCTCTCTCTCAAGTAAATAAATCTTTTTTAAAATGGGGGGGGATATACCCCATATATAGTGAAAATCAGTACTGGGAAACCTCCCAGAGATGGGGTTGGAAGCTCTGGCAGGGGGCTCTCACAGCCCTCCCACGGGGTCCATCGCTGACCCAACAGGAAGAGCCCTCCCTGCCCTCACCTGGATGGGATCTTGCCCGAGGCTGTGACCCCCCGCAGGAGGGACAGATGCTTTGCTCATCCAGGGCCACAGCTCTGCCACCGAAAAGCCACCGCGCCCCCCTCCCAGCTTCCTCCAATGCACTTTGAGTTCATAACAGCCCCTCCCAATTCACCCCTTTTCTCCTTCGTTCCCCAGACTTGCCTAGGGTCTTGCCCAGCTTGTTTGTCCGGGACTGAAATTCTCTTTTATTCCTGAATAAATCCATCTGTTCCTGGTGAAATAACTGGCAGTTTTTATTCTTAAGTTTAGCTATATACATATGTATATATAGCTACCCTTAAGATATATATATACACACACACACATAAAATATAAACAATATATATAGCTACATATACATTATAAATTTAGAATTTGTCATTCTAACACTGTCTGCTGGGGGTTCCAACATATGCAGAGGGAATCAAACTACAACACGAAGGGTAAAGGGACCTGTAGGGTAGTAGGGTTCTCCATTCCACAGGAAGTGGTAAAATATTAATTCTAAGCAGGCTATGAAAAGTGTGTATATAATTTCTAGAACCACTAAATATTTTTCTTTAAAGATTTTATTTGAGAGAGAGAGCACGCACAAGCAGGGGGGAGGGGCAGAGGGAGAAGCAGGCTCCTCACTGAGCAGGGAGCCCGATGCGGGGCTCAATCCCAGGACCCTGGGACCATGACCTGAGGCGAAGGCAGATGCTTTACTGACTGAGCGGCCCAGGCACCCCCATCAATATTATATATACAAAGAAATATAATCAGGAAGAGAGCAGCAGGGCAGGAAAGAAGAAATAGAACAACTGTTTGCCTAACCCCAAACCATGCAATAGTCTCATTAGACAGGAAGGGCCTGGCCTTGGACACAGGCACTCTCTGCCCAGCAACTAAAGGAAACGAGGCTGTTTCTGCTCTTGGACTCTACTCCTCACACCACCGCTAACACTCATGCTGTGAATTTTCCCCACAGAGGAGAACTGGGCGTCCTACCATCTAACTCAGCTCTAACACCATCTCCCTGGAGACTGCATCAACCCCACAGCGGAAGGGCTCAGTGCCCCAAAACTGCCCCCGCTTCAGAAGCCAGTCGCAAGCCCCAGGTGCTCACCTGTACTTCTGACAGATCGGCTATCGATCGGGCTTCCCACAAGCCCCTCTTTGCGTTTGATAATTTACTAGAACAACTCCCCCCAGAACGCAGGGAAACTCTTTCACTACCAGTTTATTATACAATAAAGAATATGATAAAAGATATGTACAAACAGATGACAAGGTGCATAGGGTGTGGTCTTGAAGGCTCCTGAGTGTAGCAGCTTCTGCTCTTCAACCTTGTGGAGCTGGGGTGCATCACTCTGTGACGCAGGACGTGTTCACCAACCCAGAAGCTCCCCAAACCTGTACTTTAGGGATTTTTATGGCGTGACTGATTATGAACCATCTCCAGGGCCTCTCCCCTCCCTCAAGGATGGGGCTGGGCTTCTAATCACAGCCTGATCTTTCTGGTGCCCAGCCCCATCCCAAAGCCATCCCAGAGCCCACCGAGTGAGTGCCTCACTGGAAAAAAGACACTCCTTTCACCCAAGACATTTCGTGGGATTTAGGAGCTCTGGCCAGGAGGTGGACGGGAAGACCAAGATATGGATTTCTCTATTTTTTAAAAAGATTTTATTTATTTATTTGGGAGAGAGAGAGCATGAGCGGGGAGGAAAAGGAGAAGCAGGCTCCCCAATGAGCAGGGAGCCTGACACAGGGCTCAGTCCCAGGACCCTGAGATCATGACCTGAGCCGAAATCAAGAGTCGGACGCCTAACTGACTGAGCCACCCAGATGCCTTTACGCATTTCTTATTGTATCATAATATCACAGCCAAACACATTGAGTTAAAGACAACTTATAGTTTGGACTTTTAAAAATCACCCAATTCCATGCTGGCTTCGAGGAACTCGCCCTGAATATAATAATGCACATTGGTTAAAGTGAACAGTAACCTCGCGTTCCGTGGTATCAATCACCCTGATACCATCACTCATCAAAGACAGCAGAGACAGCGGGCGCCTGGGTGGCTCAGTTGGTGAAGCGACTGCCTTCGGCTCAGGTCATGATCCTGGAGTCCTGGGATTGAGTCCCGCATCGGGCTGCCTGCTCGGTGGGGAGTCTGCTTCTCCCTCTGACCCTCCCCCCTCTCGTGCTCTCTGTCTCTCATTCTGTCTCTCTCAAATAAATAAATAAAATCTTTAAAAAAAAAAAAAGACAGCAGAGACAGCTGCCGAGGATCTATTACATACAAACTTCACAGAATCTAGCAACAAATAAAATGGATTCTACACCACGAAATTTATGTGGGGAGGTTTAAATCTGAAAGCCAATTAATATACCCAATCAGTAGAATGTTTTGTTTTTTGACAAAAATGACACATGATCATCTCAATGAATGAAAAAAAAAAGCATTTGACAAAATCCAACACCCCTTCCTGATAAAAACACTCAGAAAACTAGGAATAAAACTGAACTTCCTTCATCGGATAAAGGGCACCTACAGACGCTGGACCCCTAACATCATCTTAATGGGGAAACGCTGAACCCAAGATCGGGTGCAGGACAAAGAGGCCCACATCCACCCGCGGAGTCCCAGAAGCTCCAGCCAGACCAGTGAGGCCACACAAGCAAATAACAGGGGACCTGAAATTGTTCCCAGTCACAGGATGGCTGTTTATGTGGATGGACAGACAGAACCACCAGGAATCTAACAGTGAGTTCTGTCAGGTTTCAGGATACACCTATGCATGAGAATCGGGGGGTTTCTGAGTGCTCGCAATGAACAACTGGAAATTGAAACAATCTGTAACAGCTCCAAGGGAAAGAGAGAATTAGGCATAAACCTAACAGAGCAGGGGCTGGGTCTCTATGTTGAAACACCATAAAACATTGATAGAAGGAATCAAAGACGAGCAACTTCGGGCAGAGACATCCTGTGTTCACAAATCCCAAAGTATTCCTTCGTAGACAGACAAGCTGATTCTAAAATCTATATGGAAAGTCAAAAGAAGAGCAGGCAAAACAATCTGGAAAGAACAAAATTAGAGGACTCACACCAGCTGATACTAGGCAGTCCTCTCCAATTCAGGTTAGTTGAGTTAGGAGGGTGTTCTTGAAGCGATGGGCACAGAAAGAGATGGAACAGAAGAGAACCCAGAAATAGCCCCGCACAAAATTGGCCAACGGACATCCCAGGAAGGTTTGAGGACAATCCAGGAGCAAAAAGACGGTTTTGTTGACAGATGGTGCTGGAACCACCGGCCTCCTCCTGCAGATACCGAATCCTCAGCCTCATACTTAAAATTCACTCAAAATGAATCCTGTATCTCCATGTAAATTGTACGCTCCACAAGAAAACAGAGAAAACGTTTATTGTAATTCGGAGTCAGAGACATGACCCAGAAGCAAGGGAAAAAAAAAAAAAGGTACACTGATAAGATTGGCAAACCAGACTTCCTAAAACCAGACTTCCTCTGCTCTGAGAGGCGCCCTTGTAAGAAATGAACACACAAGCTACACACACAACGGTTACAGAGGACAGGAGACCCACACGCAGAGCGGAGTCGGCGATGGTACAGCGGTGACAGTGCTCAGCCCTGCAGACGGCGGGGGCACGCCCTCGGGACACCCACAGCGAGGGTGCGCGCAGACCGAGTGCCGGGCTCCGGGGACGCAAGTCCGTGTGGCGGTCTTGGAAAGTGGCACACCCTCACCCTGTAAGCCCTGGAGACCCCGGGTCTCACCGTGTGCCCCGAGAAAGGAGAACCTGTGTTCACACAGACACCTGTCCAGGTCTGCAGCGGTTCTCTTCGTGGTCACCGGAGCCTGGACACAAGTTCTTGACAGGTGGACACGTCGACACCAGATGATGCCCCACGCTGGAAGGAGGAACCGCGGGCACCCGGAGGACTGTCAGAGACCCCATGCGGAGGGGCCAGTCTCGGAAGCTTACACGGAGTCCGCCCGCACACACAGGCCGTGCCGCAGGAGAACCGCAGAGACCCGAAGCGCCAGAGCACGTGGCCGTGACCGGCCAGTGCGCGGGCGTCCTGATGCGGAGCGGGCACACTGAGCGAACACAACCTCCCTGAGAAGAGTCTGGAGGCCGGAGAGGGGCTCAGACGGAGCACCAGCTCAGGAAGAAGCCTGCCCTGCCGCCGGGCACCACCTGAGCCCCTGGCTTCCTCCATCGGACCTGCAGGGCAGTCCCGCCCAGCCTCTTCCTCCTGGCCCTGCCCTGACCGCAGTCCCTGCGCTGTTCCCAAGTGAACCCATTTTGCTGGTACAGTAACTGGCTGCTTTATTTTCAAGGTTGGCCCAGTGGAAGTGGACGCGTCTACACACGTTACAATTCGTAAAACACTACGCCAAAAAGAGTCAACGTTACTTCAAGTTCCTTTGAACAATATTTTTTATTGCAGAGTGGTCAGGGGGGTCCTCACCTGACAGAGACCTGTGAGTCCGGACAGTGTCCAGGTGGACGGTCCAGCAGCGAAGGTGCCAGAGCAGAGAACATTGCATGGCCAGTGCCCCTCCATGAGATGCTGGGACCCCCACCAGCCCTGCGGGCATCTGCGGCTCGGTCAGAGCAGTGGGAGTGCAGAGGAGGCCGGGGGTCAGGGGGACATAGGAATGCCAGGCCCCTAGGGGCCACGGTGAGGACTCTGGAATTACTTAACAGGGTGGGGAGCTGCAGGGCACAGGGAGCAAGCGGGGGGGGCGGGGAACGCTACGTGACTGTTAAAGGCCTTCCGAGAACAGAGCTTGGAAAACCAAAGGCAGAGACCGGAGACCAGACACCTGGTTGGAAGGTGGGGGCCAGCACCGGAAGTTCTCCCCCAACCCCAGCTCCTGCCTCTGCACCCTGTCCCTCTCCAGATGCTGGCCGCCCTTTAGCGCCCCAACTGCGTACTCCTGGTGGGAAGCGGCTCCAGGCCTCCACCCCCCAGCTCAGAGCCCTGGGACACCGCCATCCGCCACCTCAGGCTCTGCAAGCACCCCACCACGGAGACGGCGCCATTCACATCCACACTGGCCCAGTAGCACTCCGCCACAGTGCCCCCAACTATCACCCCGTAGCTGATGGGGGCCAGGTGCCCTGCACTCCCCATCATAGCAGCGCATTCAGAACACAGAGCTTGGTTTGGTGCAGGTGCACATTTCATTAGATCCTGGACTGAAGGGTGGGCGGGGCTCCGGGTGGGGGGTCGGGGGTCGGGGGTCAGGAGGGGTGAGGACCTGGGGCCACAGCACATCCTCTCCCTGGAGCCCACAGGGCTGGCTTGCCAGAGTGGGGTGGGGCCGGCAGGCTCAGGCATTTCTCTGCTCTGGGGGAAGGTACTCAAGGCCCAGGTGCCTGAATATGTCTTCCTCGGAGGCCACGTGGAAAAGCATCTTCTGCAACAGGAGTGGGGGTGTTAAGGCCTGGGGGCTGCCCCCCACGGTGCTGGCTTCCTGGAGAAGGGCGTGTGGAGGCGTGGGGAGGGGCAGCAGTTTCTTCCCCCAGGCAACCCCCCCCCCCCCCAGCAACATACCTGCTCCGGGTCAAACAGCCCATGGCTGTTCAGCCACAGCCCTCTCTCCTTCCGGCTGAAGCGGCGCAGCTCCCGCTGGAAATGCTGGGGAGAGCGGGGTCGTGTCAGGGCCACTTACCCCCCAACAGCCCCAGGCCCGGCCCCCACAGCCCACGCCTACCTTAGAGCCAGTCCAGCCTAGCAGGGCAAAAGGGAGCTGGCTGATGGGGACAGCCACCAGGTCCACCCGCACGGCCCTCCTCTGGGCGCCCCCCACCGCGGCCCCTGGGGGTTGTGGTAGGCAGAAAATGCAGAAAATGATCTCGAAGGCATCCATGGTGTGGCTCCGCGGGGTCGGGTGGGTGGCGTCCTCAGGGCGGCCACGGTGGTGCTGGTGGTATAGGACAAGCCCCTGCAGGCAGAGCAGACGTGGCAGGCCACAGCGGGGCGCGGCCGGGGCAGGAGCCAGGGTCCGGGCAGTCCTCCCTGCCGTCCGCCCGGCCCAGGCAGGCAGCCCGAGCCCCTCACCTGCTTCTCCAGGCGACCCATCATGCTGGGCAGCAGCCCGGCCTCCTGGCCCTCCTGGGGGTGGCTGACAAGCAAGTCCACGTCGTGGCCCTGCAACTTCCCCCTGAGGGGGCGCCATCTGACTCCGGGGGCCACACGGGGCTGTGGCCGCTCCCAGGTCCCGCTAGTGAGGGAGGGCCCACCTCAGGGGCCTACCCTGGAGGGCTGGCAGACCCCCTCACCTCCGGAAGCCGCCCACCAGCGTCACGGTGGCCCCGGGCAGGACATGCGCCGCAGCGGCTTCCACCACCTGCTGCAGGGCCTCTGCCTCCGGCCGCTGGACCGGGACGCTCAGGTCGCGGTAGTGCTGGAGTCCTGCGGAAGCACAGTCTCCTGACCTTCCCGGCCCCACCAGCTCGCGCTCTCCACTGTCCCTCCTCCCTTTGAAGCAGAGGAAACCGCAGATCCGCGGGCAGCTGCATCTGTGCCCCCTGCCCCCCGTGCCCCCTGCCCAGTCCCCTCAACGGCAACGTCTAGCAGAACTACCATCCGTGCCATCAGGGTGCTGGTGTGGATGCAGTCACGACGCAGACTACCCCTTTGAAGGCCTCGATTCTCCCCTCCGTAAAATGGGCCGGAAAAAGATAAGGACATGAAGGAGATTGGTCTGCCGCTCAGGAACCCCTTCACCGGAGCCCTGGCCCAGCTCCGCACCTGCGGGGGGACTGCTGCCTCCCGCACAGTCAGGAGAGGTTTCAGAGGGGGAGCAACGGCGCTTGGGGGCGCGGGCTCTCGGTAGGCGGTTCCTGACCGCGTCACGGGGACATGTGGCTGACAGCACCTCATGTTCCCTCAGACACGTGACTCCATGGGTCGCACCGCCTGCAGACCCCCACAGGGCCTCCCCTCCCCCAGCCCGAGGGAAGATGTTCAAAGACGCGGTGGGTGCCGGGCTGCGGAACCACTCTGGCGGGGACCCCAACCGTGGCCACGCGGGGAGGCCCATCTAACACCTGCTACCTGCTGGCCTCACACGGAGCAGCTCACAGACAACGGAACGCAGGCTCAGAGAAGTTAAGTCTCAGGGCCGTGGTCACCTACCTAGTACGTGGCCAAGACAGGACTCCAGCCCAGGCCTGACACACTCTCAAGCTCCCGTTCGTTCCACTGCACGGGGCCCCCTGCCATGAGCAGGCCCTGTCCTGAGCCTCTCCTGCCACACAGGTCCCCATGCCATCTGCCGGTGTGCCAGGACACCAGCCCCATGCTGCCAAGCTGTGCGCAGGGCACGGGCCACTGAGACACGGCCTTCCCTTCCTGGTCCAACCGGGAGGTGTGAACGTCACACCATCACTGTTCACTGCAGAAGGGCTCCAGCAGATCCAGACAGAGGCCTGCCTGCCTCCGGGACCTCTGTGCACTGACCCCGCGCCCTCCCGTCCAGGCAGCCCCCCAGCACGCACCGCGTGTCAGGGCTCAGGGCTCCGTGGTGTGGGGGGCCCGGGGCCCCGTCCTTCTCCGAGGCTCACCTGCTCTCTGCTGCTGGGTCAGCCTCTGGGGCTGCTCGTGGAGGCTGTCCAGGGTCCGCAGCCCATCCCGGTACCACCGGTCAGCAGTCTTGACCCCAACCCCAAAGATCCCGGTGAAAAGCTGTTTGGGGGACGAGCACAGTGTGATCAGGAATAAAGTCCTGACAGAAGACGCAGATGGCCACCACCATCCGCGAGGGCGGTGCTGTCCCAGGCCGCCCCATGGCCGCTCACGGCTGTCTGGTTCAAGCAGGCCGACCGAGGCCACATGGTGCTCACACAGGCAGGATTCAAACCCCAAGGCTAGCCTGTGCGGAGGACGGCACGGACAGACCCCGGTGTACCTCCCTCTGAGGGCCTCGACCCCCTGCTCCGGAAAAGTCTCTCCCCCAGAGCCTGTGCAGCTCCAGCCTGTGAGTCCAGCACCGCACACCAGTCACCCCCACAGCCTCCTGTCCACTGGGAACCACGCCGCTCCCACCTAATAGCAGCTGGGGTTTCGCACCAGGGTTCTTCTCCTTAGCAAACCAGAGGGTCGTTCTAGAGGAGCTGCAGCGTGGGAGCCAACCTCCCGTCAGGGGCGGCCGGCCCCACACGGGTCTCCCACATGGGGCGGGGGATGGGCAGCCCCCAGCCCCAGCAAGTCACTCTTTCCTCCCCGACCACAGCTTGTTGGTCCAAGGTAGGCATCCGCTCCAGCAATTTTTGGAAGCGAAACAGAATGTCAGGCCTGTGCGGTGGTGGAGGCCGTAACCCACAGATGGGGAGCCTCCCGTGGCTGGGTCTCAGCTGGTGAGGGGGCCGACGCACAGAAAGGGGGAGGACCCTTGTGGCACTCGGCTCCCCGAGCCCTGCTTCCTCTGGCTACAGCCCTGCCCATCTTGGGCTATGCTGGCCGCCCTTCCCTCGATCCCCTGAACCAAGAAAAAATGCGCAGAACAGCCCAACCATGTTGCTTCAACAATGAACTTCTAATCACTGACCCACCTCTCTGCTGGCCTGGGCGCCTACCTGGGACCCTCTGTCCTTCACCCGTGGCTCCTCTCCCTCTCCGAAGCCCCCCGCTGGCCCTCACCACATTCCGGGCCACCTCCCAGAGCACTGACGGCCCACCCTGCCAGGGAAGCCCCCCGCCCCCAACAGGTCGCTGATGGGACAGGTGTCTGAGCCGCGGGACAGAGGCGGCCACCAGAGCTCTGGCGCGTCAGATCAGGGGCGGTAGGAACAGGAGAAGGTGCGCTGTGGACAAAGGGCGACAAGCAGGGCTCAAGATCATAAAGAGGGAGGAAGTTACATTTTGTCCAGTACGCTCTGTTTAAGATGCTGGGGGACACAACACAGTGGAGAACATTCCAGTGATGGTGCTGAGTGGATCTGCAAACCCCCCTGTGCTAAACGCCAGCTTCTCCTCGCCCCACTCTGTTTGGCTGCCTCATGCATCTCTGGTGTCAGCCCACTGCTACCTCCTCAGCGAGACCTTCTCTGATTCCTGGGCGCCCTGCTTGCCTCCCGTCCGTGGCTGGAACCGGGCTGCCATCTGGGGGAGGGCTCCGAGCCCCTGCTGGGGTCCGCCCTGCATGTACCTTCATGGTCTGGTACCGCTCTGACAGCTGGATCCTCTCCACCTCCTCACACACCCCGTGTTCCAGCAGCTCCTAGGGGACCAAGCAGAAGGCTCAGCCTGACTGGACACAAGGTCTGGGGTCCGAGGACCAGGCAGAACCCCCACACTCAGCAGGGCAGCTTCGTCTGATCAGCACCCAGGGGTGCTTAGAAATAGAGACCATGCCTGGGGAGGCACCAACGCTTCTGGCCTCACGGCCCTGGGCCCAGGGAACACGGGCCACCTTTTAGACGAATGACAAGTCCCAGAATATGGAAACCGTGGCTTTTCCAAACACGGGTGATGTATTCAATGGGACTTTGCTTAAAAGCTGGAGTTCAAAAGTATGTTTGGTCCCCCATAGTCTCCCAGTGGCAAGGGAACCCCTTAGATGGTACGCTCAACATGGCATGTGAAGCACCTGACATTTTGGGTCCTTACGTACTTTGTATTTTGAAAAAGATGTGCTCCGAGTCCAGGGTTCCCGTCCACCATCCCAGACTGCGGGGCCGATGCCAACGATCCAGGTACCAGTCCTGCCTGGGCCCTCCCAGCCACATGGTGTGGCCCCCATTTACAGCTGAGGAATCCGAGCAGAGGGTGGCTTGCCCTGGCCCTGAAGCCGGCCTCCATGGCTGCACTGAGCCCCTGACCCCCCCACGCTCACGATCCCCAGGCCGCCTCATCCACCACCTGCCTACACTCACGACTCCACCCAGGAGCACCTACCTGGACAACCCTGCAGGAGTGTTCTCCAAAGTGCGGCAGCCCCTGCAGCTGGCTCAGGGCTGTGACCCGGCTCGGAAGGGCCTTGAGCACCGCGGCCGCTCTACGGAAGGAGAGGAAGCGGCCCTCGCTGCCCTCAAAGCTTGCGGCCTCCGCCAGCACCTCTAGAGCCTCCTGCAAGGAGAGGCCCTTGGTGAGGGGGGACGGTGCCTGACTCCACGCCCTCCAGCTCCCACCCACCTGTCCCCAGGCTGGGACAGGGCAGAGTGGCAGGGCTGCTGGCAACAGGCCCGGCCCCACCCCAGGGAGGCTGGGAACCCAAGGCTCACCGAGAGGCCGGTGTTGTGGTGTGTGAGCGGCGTGGGGCGCTGGCAAGCATAGGGCGGCATCCTCACTGGGCTGGGCAGCTCCTTCCCCGGCACAGCCACCTGGGGACGGGCAATACAGAGGCCACCTGGCGGCTGAAGGCTGGCAAGGCCCGGCAGCCCCCAGAGCCCTGCCCCTGACAAGGACAGGCGGGGTGGAGCAGGCGGAGGAGGGGCTCCTCACCCAGAGCATCAGCAGGCCCAGCACCCGCGGACTCTCAGGGAGGACCGTTCCTGTCACTGCACACGACGTGTGTGCTCTACCTCCCGCAACGGTCTCAATCGTGTAGGCTAGCAGTGCCTGTCATGCCCGCCTCGCAGACAGGGACACCGGCTCGTGGCCCACAGGCAGAGCTGACCTTGGGACTCTGAACCCACACCTGCATCCTCCCAGGAAGCACTGAATGGGGGCAGAAGCCACACACCCACAGCACCGTGAGGACAGCTTCCTGCTGGTCCTTGGGTCATCTCAGCAGGAGTTGCTATCTCACTACTTGAGCACAAAAGGCCTGAAGATGCTAGAAATAAGTGGACCTCAACAGGTCATACCAATGAGAGCAGAAGCCAGGATGGCCTGGCCTCCCAGGGCCCCCGGTGGTCTGAGCTGAGCCCCACTGCCCCCCCCCACATCTGTAGGCACCGCGGTGCTGCTGACAGGCCACCTGTGCCCTCCGAGCCACAGCCTGCACCAGGGCATTCTCCGCGGGCCCCACGCCAGGCCACCCAGCTCACCTCCAGGCGGTGCCGGCTCTCCACGGGCACGGGCTGCCCAGCTGCCATGCTTTCTGTGAACCAACTTATGTCCAGCAGTACTGGGCGGGTGCATCCTTGGGGTGAGGCTGCTGCCGCCCTGTGCCCCTGCCAGCAGCCGGCCTCCTCCACTGAGGTCTGTTCCATCACCACATGTGTCACCTCGGAGCTGGGTAGAGAGAGGGGGCACAGCTCACATCCAGAGGTCCCTCCTGCCTCGCTCTGTGCCTCCAGGCCTTTGCTTCCTGTCCCCTCTGCCTGGTGAGCACCCATTCATTCTTCCATGCCACCTCCTCAGAAAGCCCCTTCTCAAAGAGGAACACATCTGCCACCCCAGCACCTGCAGAGCTGCAGCCCAGCCCACGTCTCTGTCAACTCATCTGCCCTTCTCTCCCCCAGCCTCTGAGAATGGAGGTCCTTAGGGGGCAGGACCAGAGGCTCTTCGTCTGCTGCACCCAGACTGCTTGGGTGTGAACCCCAGCTCTGGCACATACTTGCTGGGTGGCCTTGGGCATCTCGCTTAACTTCTCTGTCCCCTGATTTCTTCCTCTTTAAAGCAGGTAACAACCTATCCACTATGTAGGGTTGTTACACAGATTAAACAAACTCATAAGCAAAAGGCTTAGAGGCTTAGACAGCACCCAGCACACTAAACTCCTCTCTGAGCGGGTCTAACCACTGGGAATGGTTAAATCACTTAAACAAACAAACAAAAAAGCTGCTGGGGGACTGGCCCCTGGTTTGCTTGCTCTTCCAACTTTAAACCTACCGGAACCCATTTCCTTAATCTCAGCAGTGTCTCTGTAGCCCATAATTTTTGCTGATCTTGGAGCTTCACTCAAGTCATTGTCTCAGCCCAGAGGGGAGGCGTCATTTTGGCTAATAGGGTAAGATGAACTTACGGAGGGCACAAGGCCATTAGCCAGTGATATCCTTAACCACCCCACAGGGCCCTATAGCTCTTTACAGAGCCTCTGGTATACGTTCTCTCCTTGTCCTACAGAACACTCCTGGCCCTAACTGCAAGCACCCTTTTATACAAGAGGATATTGAGAGAAAAGCCACATGAGCATGAAGTGCCAGGGTTAACTTGGAATCCAAAACTTCAGGTGCCCCTCCACTGCCAGGTGAGTCGTTTTAGATCTCAATATCCTCAGCTGAAAAGAAACACCGCTTGTGAGTGTGGCTAGTCACTTGCAAAGTTCTGAGCACCGGCATGTTGTGCTTAGGCGCTCACACCACGCAGCAGTGTCGTTGGGGCGTGACGGCATGGCCATCCCACACAGGCGTCCCTTGGTCCCCTGTGGGCGCAGCACCCGCCCCGCGCCCCTCGTGCAGGCGCCCCCCCAACCATGAAGGCGCCCCGGGCAGGAGCCCCCGGCAGGTGACCCCCTGAAGGGGTCCCAGGCAGAAACCACGCCCCGGGCCGGAGCCCCCGGGCAGGTGACCCCCCTGAAGTCACCCCGGCAGGAACCCCCACACAGGTGCCCCCACCAAGGCGCCCCGGCAGGAGCCCCAGACAGGTGCCCCCCCCCGCCAAGGCGCCCGGACAGGAGCCCCGGACAGGTGCCACCCCCCCAAAGCGCCGCGGGCAAGGGCCCCACCCCGGGCCGCAAGCTTCTCCACGACCGCGCACCTGTAGGCGTCCAGGACCCTGAAGCCCTTGGAGACCGCCAGGCGCGTGAGGAAGGCCCGGCGGCTGCGGCCCATGCGCGGCTCGGCCAGGTAGATGGCGACGCCCGGGAAGTGCGGCGGAGAGGAGGAGGCAGGGCCGCCGGGGGACAGGACCCGCGCTCGTCGCCGCTTCGGGAGCATCCCGTCTCTGGCCGCGGACCGGCGCCGGAAAAGGGAGCGCGGAAATCGGAGGAAAGGCGGCAGAAGCAGGCTGGAAGAGGAAGCGGCACCGGGCGGTACGTGCGAGCAGGCCCCGCCCCATGCAAATTGGGCCACTCGGAGCGGTCGGGGGCTCCCGCGGGATTGAGTTCGCGCCTCCGGCCCCTTCTCCATGCAAATAGCACCAGAGGACACGCCCTTTATGTAAATAACTCGCGGAGCTAAGTGGAACAGCGCGGGCGTGTGGGGCGAAGCCGGGGAGAACGGGGGCGGGGCGGGGGTGGGACCAGTGAGCGCGCGGGCGGGGCGTGCGCGGGGTGGCCGGTGAACGCAGGGCGAGCGCGGAGGCGGGGCGGAGTGATGGGGCGGGGCGGGGGAGCAATGGGGGCGGGGCGGGGGAGCGCTGGGGGCGGGGCGGGGCGGGAGAGCGCTGGGGGCGGGGCGGCGCGCGCGGGGCGGGGGCCCGGCGGGAGGGTCCGGTGCGAACGGGGTGTGGGGGCCCGGCGGGGGCGGGGCCGGGGAGCGCGGCGCGGGCGGGACCCGCGGTGTGCGGGGGGACTAGCAGGAGAGCCCGGG